GGTCGGCCCCCTTCCCCCTTCTCCCTAAAAATAGAGGGTTGGAGAGAGGGCTGCAGCACCACATCGAAGGCGCAGCCCCTCCCCTCCCCAACACCTTTCCTCCTTCGCGCGAGCTTGGCGACCGGAGAACTGCCACTCCATCACCACCACACCGTCGTGCTGTTGTTGGAGCCATCTTCCTCAACCTCTCGCTCCTCCTCGCTGGATCAAGGCGCGGGAGACGTCACCAGGCTGCACGTGTGTTGAACGCGGAGGTGTCATTGTTCGGCGCTAAGATCGGAATCCGGCATGATTTGAATCGCTACGAGTATGACTCCTTCATCCGCGTTCTTGCAACGCTTCCATCTCGCGATCTTCAAGGGTATGAAGATGCACTCCCCTCTCTCTCGTTGCTAGTTACTCCATAGATTGATCTTGGTGATGCGTAGAAATTTTTTAATTTCTGCAACGATCCCCAACAATGGGATCATGAGCTAGGTCTATGCGTAGTTTCTATGCATGAGTAGAACACAAATTTGTTGTGGGTGTCGATTTTGTCAATTTACTTGTCACTACTAGTCTTATATTGTTTCGGCGGCATCGTGGGATGAAGCGGCCCGGACCGACCTTATACGTACGCTTACGTGAGACAGGTTCCACCGACTGACATGCACTAGTTGCATAAGGTCGCTAGCAGGTGTCTGTCTCTCCCACTTTAGTCAGATCAGATTAGATGAAAAGGGTCCTTATGAAGGGTAAATAGCAATTAGCATATCACGTTGTGGTTTTTTGCGTAGGTAAGAAACATTCTTGCTACAAACCTATAGCAGCCACGTAAAAACTTGCAACAACAATTAGAGGACGTCTAACTTGTTTTTGCAGCATATGCCGTGTGATATGATATGGCAAAAAAGGATGTGATGGATGAAATATATGTGATGTATGAGATTGATCATGTTCTTGTAATAGGATTTGAACTCTGGTGGGCTGGGGATACCACAGACCCACTAACCATCCACTATTTTGTCGATATATTATATCTTTCTGTTTTAAAAACAGGTCATAGAAAAAAGATTGGGATAAGTCCATCTAGCGATCGCCTCGGTACGGATGAAATATAGCCGGGCACTCTCACTCCCCTCATGTCCGGCTCGGAGACTGGGAATGGGATCTCCGAGGACGACCAGAAGCGTCGGTATTGGGTAGAGAACCCCGGCCGGATGGAAGGGGCCGTCTTCACCACCACCCCAACAGGTCAATAAGCGATGGCGCGTGTTGAGCAACGGCAACAGGCCGTCTTCACCACCACCCCAACAGTGGATAGCAAACACCTGCGCAGCTGTGCTCTGCACACGCCCCGGCCTTTGACAAAGGCGGAAGAACGAGGGTGTGTCCAACATGGGTAAAAATCTCGTAAAACGAGAGTTGGAAAAGAAAAAGGAAAAACAATAGGCATACTGACGGAAAGAACACTTCAACAGCTAAAAGGTAAAGCAAGACGAAACTTTGAGAAATCATCAGAAAAAGGCACCTGTTAGGTAAACTATGTCTCCAAAGAGTTACAAGACTGTTGTGCTCCGCGCATATAACTCGACCGAAAAACAAACATCAGTCCGACAACACCGACATGACACACGCAACACGTTAAAACGCTCTGCCTCTCCTCAGCGAGCCACAAGCTCAGCTACTCTGAGCTGCTTTACTCCGCAGCGAGTCCCGCCACAGTGAGCCAGCACCACAACAAGAGTGCGGGGGGGCTCAGTAGTTGGCGTGCTGCTGCCAGCTCTGGTGAGATGGCTGCTGCTGCTGCTGCTGCTGCTGCTGCTGCGCCCCCTGGTAGCCATTCAGGGCTCCGTCGGCCGGGTTCTGGGGGTGGTGCTCCTGCGCCATGCCGCCGCCCTGGGAATGGTAGAACGCCGGGTATCCATGGCCCCCGTATTGAGAAGGCTGCTGGGGCTGCTGCGCCTGCCGGAAGGCGCCCTGCTGCTGGCTCTGTCCCTGGTAGCCATAGAACTGGGTAGGAGGAATTGCTGACGCGGTTCTTGAACCAGCCCCATGAAGCCACATCGCAGAGTTGTCGCCCTGACAAGAAGAACAAAATCAAACACTATTCTCTACCAAGTAAACAGCAATCAACACAAAATTCTGAAATATACACCAAGGGTTGCTCAACAATGGTTACCTGCTGCTGGAGAGCCATGTATTGATTGGCCTCTTTGTACTGAGCGCTCAGTGCTTCATCAAACCCAAGATTAGCCGACGGAGGGGCAGCATTCTGGTTGAGGGCAAAATTTCCTGGAAGGTTACTTGAGCTACCAAAGCCTGCATAACCAGATATAACCGACGAAGGTTGTTGTTGTTGTTGTAAGTTTGCGGCTGACATGTTGTTCTTGTATTGTGGCATCGAGTACTTCATGCCAGCTCCTGGTACAGCAGCGGCAGACTGATGGAACTGTCCATTACTCGAGTAAGCTTGCTGGAAGGCGGTTGACGGCAGGTAAGCAGGGTAGTTTTGTGCCAAGTATGGATTATAGCCAATCATATTTGCGCCAATCATATTTGCGAAAGGTGCAATAGGTAAAGTGGGCTGTGAGTAAGGATGGACTAATTGCTGAGGAAGAGAGGGGGCCATCTGAATGCTGGTACTCGGAAGATTTTGTGTGGATTGAGTGTTCGAGAAAACTCCTGGCTTCATTGGCTGCAAACGTCAAGGAAAGGAAAGTCAGACAAAGCAACATATGCAACAACAAATTATCAGCACCATGATGTCAATAATATTCAACGATTAAGTTAGAAAATTACCAACCCCACATAAAAATTACTCCCTCCGTTCACTTTTATAAGATATTCCAACTTAAATCGGATATATTTTAGTCTCATTTCAGTACGTATGAAGTTCATATATTATTAAAATATCCAAAACATCTTATAATAGTGAAGATAGGGCTAACAAGGAAAGTTCGGAGTATACTGTATGCAGCTGAACGATCTCACATGAAAAGGAATTTTTTTTCTCAACGCTAGCACACCTACATACATAATTCAAGTTTACACATACAATAAAGAATGGTGTGCTTTTTGTAGCTTCCAAACTGACTCTGTGAAATAGGAATCCAAATGAAGCACGGAAAGATAAATGGATTCAAAGTTTTTTACCTCCTGCATGCCAGTAGTAGTTGGTGCAGCTGAGTTATATCTTGCTCCCATTGATTGTGCTTGTGCTGCCAACAAAGGTGATAAACCGAAGTCCAAGTCCCGAAGAGGTGCCATATTAGAGCCCAACAGGTTGTGTTGTTGTAACGTATTTGATTGCTGGAGAAAACATTTGTAAAAGATTATGCCAAAGTTATACAGGCTGGAATAAATAGATAAGCATGCAGAAGATGATAAATTCATCATAATCCTCTTCAGCAAAGAAGTTCATCATCAATTGGAACAAGGCATGGAAAATCCAGAAAATTTCAGTCAGTCTTTTTAAGACTTCCAAGATTTGTATAAAAAACATGATCTAGGCAGAATAACTATTCCAATGCAAGTTATTGCACCATTTTAAGATACTTAGCATCAGTTCGTTCCTTCCAAAATAGACATCTCTTTGGATCTCCCATTGTCAGCCATAAGTCATAACCATGGAAAAGGGTAACACAAAACATCAAAGGCTAAAAAAGTGGCATAATCAAGAGGGCTCATACGGGTTTTTTTTCTGAAGATACTGTAGTAAGAAAAAGGAGCAATGAGCTACTTCTGAAAATAAAACACAGCCAAATGTATTAGTGTTGGATGCCTAAAAGAACCAATCATGTTCACCAGCAAATTACTGTTATACTTGACCTAAATAATCTGCAATAAGATGTTCAACAGCCCCACAATTTGTCATGTGGTACATTAGTAACGACTGCGACATTACATTGAAACCATCAATGTTCTGATGCCTACTCACAATCTGGCTATTACTTCAGATGATAGTCCAAAATTTGTATCAATTTTGATGCATTATATTATGCCTACATATACAGGTATGCGGGCTATATCTGTTGGCAGTTGTGAATTACGGGGACAAGTATTTAACAAACCATGCACAAGTGAGACTCGTTTCATCAAGGAAACTAAAACACTAGCCTGAACAGGACAAGGTAAGTGTATTTAACATGTGATGACTACATACAGAACCATATGGAAGTGCAATCTGGCTTTCCTATATGTGCTGTGTAGGCACCTACAGGCTGAATTCAAATCCAGGTATGTGTATTACTATTTTTGGGAGAAGCCTTGAGTTGCTAAGTTGAGTTGTTATCTTCCAGATGCAATAAGCACATAGATGCGGGAGACATGAAAAGGTGTTATTTCACTAGAAAGATGAGAAAGGGGGACACTGTACCAGCAAGCTTGACAGGTGTGAAAGAGTGTGCGCTTGGTTACTTCCTTGCATGGCATCCATTGCATTTGGCTGTGCTGGGTTCGCATACGCGTGGCTCGAGACTGATGGCAGATTATATTGAACACCTGAAGGATCATCCAGTATTTCTTGTCTCAGGACATCAGGCTGTTGAACAGAAGGTACATCAAGATTCTCAGTGTTAGCTCCCATAATTTCCTCAAGGTTCTCGTTTGGTGGCGAATTCGGAGGAATTTCGTAGAAATCTTGATCCCTGCAAGAAAAGGTCATTCCAGTCATGTCACAAGTTCACAAGATGTGACCTGTCCAGCAAAATAAAGGAGGAAAACGCTTAACCTCGTATCTGTATGATCTATAGGTTCAGATTCCTCCACAATAGGCAACTCCACATTGTTTTCAGTGCTCTTTGGCGGTGGGAGGAGCCCAGAAAATGCACCAGATCCGAAACTGCCAAAGCTCAATCCGGCACAGCCTGTGTTGGCAACTTGCAGATGGTCCGGAATTATAACTGCTGGGTTATCTTCGGCAAACTTTGTGGCAGCTAGCTCTTCATCATGTAGGCTCAGACCCTGGAAGTTTGCTGCTGCTGATACATCAGCATTGGACTCCTCAGCTGCAAAAAAATTCCATAATCAGAACATGGGATGCAAAACCATACAGAACAAGAGAGAAAATATATACTCATGTGCAGGTCGTGTGCAAAAAAAGAACTTTTGCAACTTCCAGAACAAAAACCAACCAACCAGTCGAAAAAGGGTTCACAAATATATTTGTTATGCACAACATGTGAAGCAAATCATGATACAAAACCAGAAGCACTGAACATGCCAGTCTGAAGTATATTCACTATTCAGCAAAACAGGAGGAACTGAACATGCCAGTCTGAAGTATATTCAGAAAGAAACATACTATCTGGCTTCTTTCAATCTGCTGTGGCAATCTATTTTTTTCAAAATTGTCAGTCCAAAGTTTATGCAGACAGGAATGGACAGTGTGCTTTCTGGGTTGTTTAAAATATGTGTTAAGATGTCTATTTAAAAAAATAGCACCAAGTGATAATAGTCATCTGAAGTCATCCGTATATGTTGCTAGTACCTTTCCAACACAGATGCATACAGGCAGACTAACATAAAAGTTGATAATAATTGCATCAACTGGACAAAGAAATTTGTCTTTCATCTCTAGAACGGTTAGATTATTCTGCCATATAAAAAATATAGCTCAAACAATTTTACAACGGTTCTGATTAAGCAAGAATACTGGATACGCACACATTATCTGTTAATGAGATGTCAAAACAATAATTCATAAACGATGATCCTATTCAAAGCATTTAAGTTCACAAAAGATATACAAGATCCTCACATCAAACGATAATGCATGGATGTTTCGAAAACAAATGTTGGACCTCAAAAGTATAACCAGCAAAGAACTAGATACTTTGAACTTAGTTTAGCACTCACCTTGGTCCTCTATGTGAGAATGCGTCTGAGCCAGATAGGTACTCGAGTTCTGCAATAATCCATCATTATATTCAGAATTCCCTCCATAGTGATCCAAGTGTCTCTCAGAAGCATTTCCTGATCTCATTGCAGCAGAGATGTTATCATCCAAATAAGAATTTTCATGCAAGTAAACCGCATCAGCAACATGCGTCGATGGATGTAATGGTGCCTCAAATAATGATGGGTCCCCAGATGTCTCAGGGAGGGAGGATTGATTCCCTGCTGGCGGGTCATCTTGTGGAGACCAATCATTATCATATTTCTGCTTGTTATCAGCAGCTGTGTGACTGTGGTCCTTAACCAGAACAGAATCTTGCGCAGAAGGTAACCCTTGGTCAAGCTCTGTTGGTGCAACTGTGCTCGCAGATTGTTTTGCATTCTGGTTTACAATGGTGGGCAAAGATGGGTATTGTCCGGCATATCCTTTGTCCGCTGTGACCACAGTCTTGGTAGAAGGCTTCCCCTGAGCCTGTGGCCTGCCACCCATTTTCACAATATCAGCCATTGACAACTGACCTGGCGTCCCAGACCAGCCATGCTGAAACCCAGATGATGTTTGTGGTGGTACCGATGGTGCATCAGCAACCAGATTTTTGTTCACGGAGGAACTACAACAGAGAAAACAGAACATGTATATCAGAACAGGTGAAAAGAAAACTATCTGAAATCACCAATACATCTGACAATTTGCATGATACTGAGATGAGCGCATTGTTTGACTCAGATTTAACAACACTGCATTTTTTTAATGGAATCGAATAATTCTCCTCAGCCAGAAAACTGGAGAAAACACACAACTACAACCATTAAGATAGGCAGGGATGAATAGACTGATAAACCAAACTGATCGTTCATTGCTTGATCAATTGATGGATACAAAATGCCCCTTATATGTCAACTTAGAAGTATGCTGATCGATCTCCATTTCTAGGCTTGTTCTTTCTTATTAAAACAACATTGTACCTCTAAGATGGCTGCCCCTTTATCACTATACATGACAGAAGAACTATTGTGTGTTCCAATCTTCTAACAAAATAATTGTTAGTATAACTCATGCGGTTTTTACAAATGTTTGACGCAGGGGCATCAATAGTTGCAATGCACCTCAGGGGACAACAGATGAGGGTTGCACAAAGGCACAATAGATTTCTAATCATAAGTTGCGCTTACTAAAAAAGCAGGCTGAGCAGTTGCCCTTCAGGTAAGAAGCGAAGGTCCTTACCTTTGAACTGTTTGCTTCTGGGTGGAATTGGTTGATTGCATACCAGATCCTGAGACGGATGACCTTGAGGTCATGTTATCTGATTTTTTTAAAAGCAAAAGTAAATGGTGAAAAAAGAATTATAAACAAGAACAGCCTCAAAGATACAGATGGTGTTTTTTCTATTACCAATGGAGCTGTTGTAAGCAGAGTTGTTTCGCCCACCTCGATCTGGACCACCTCTTACACCCCGACTGGTAGCATTATTTGCCGCTCGAGACCTTGGCTCGGGAGTCTCTTTAACCTACAAAAACACACATACCTATCTGTTATTTCCATCACTGCTTGTATTTTGAAACAAGAACCAAAGGAATAACTCAACATGCTAACTATTGGCAGAAAAATCAAACAGAGCAAAATAACTTTGGAATTGACAAAGTATATTCTGTATGGGTACTTGGATGTTCATGGTGATGAAGTACAATCAGGAGAAAAAGGTTAGATACAATTCATTGGCAACCCAGGTAAAACCCGATCACCAGTTATGAGACAAACTTAACACTTAACGAATACAGGGCACATATATTTGAGGAACATGGTTGACTGACCTCTTTTTTCTTGTCACGCTTGCTCTTTACCTCTTGAAAGGTATCTGTAAAAAAAACAGTGGTACATGAGATATTGAGATATTTACACTACTTCAACTGGTAGCTAAGTGGCATAATCTATGGTTACCACCACATAAAGGTAATGTAAGCTGGTGAGTAGAATCTAAGATGATAAAATGCAAAGCAAATGTAGGAAATGAGAAGAAAAAAATTGCATGGCAGGAATTGAAATCATGTCTACATTCACAAACTATATGTGTACACAAGTACTCACTTAAACTCTAACCAAGAGACAGTGTAATCATTAATTCCAAAATCACACCATTCCGACCATGCCAGGTAAGTTCAAATGTATTTTACGACCTTCACATCCACACATAAGGCCGTATTTGGTCTCGCCCCGTCGTTTTGTTTCCAGCTGAAAATCACTCAGTGGCAGTTAAGATACAGGCATAAGTTAAACACCTCCGCAATAGATTACACCAATCCCAAGCGCGGCCTAAGAGATCATACAATTACAGGTCCCACTCCTTATCCATTCACTAACCCTCATAAAGTAAGCAACAGCACGTTATAGGGAGGCAAATGGTGTTCACAGAGAACATCTCATCTGCCAAATTATAGAAGATCAAGCTAAGCAACCATCAACCAAGGGGAGAAGAGCAAAAAACTTATAAAATATATGCATGGAATGCTTCTCTGGAACAACTTTAATGTATACAGAGGCAAACAGAAATTATAGTAATCAAAGGAGCGCGCATGGAATGCTTTCTCCACAAAGAAAACATCAAAATACCTTCTCTAAGATAAGCACACAAGCTACTCAAGTTTACAAAAGTAGCAAATCTGACTGTGCCACTTTTCCTCCTGCTGTACAATAGAGGTATAACGAAAATGACCATTTCCCAATCGATATAGCAACACTTAACCGATTTCAGACAAGCAAACCTGATAAAAACAAGCAGATCAGAAGTGTTTTCACTTTTCAAAGTTTGGCCACCATGACAAGCATCCATCTATTTTCCCAATCTAAATGCCTCCAGCCCAGGAGCCATATCTATCAGAGCACCTTTTTTGCAATCTCGTTGCTAAATCGGCCCACATCAAAGATACCAGTTATCACCTTTAAACCGAAGACCCATGCTCCTCGATTTCCCTCCCCATATACAACATAATAACAAAACAAAAGGACGAACAACAGAAAACAAACAGAATCAGCCTACCCTCCTCTAACCCAAAACGGGAAGCGCTGGCCATTAATTGCATTCAGCAGGTGGTCTAAACAGGAACCCTAAAAATGTAGAAGCAGGCCGTGATTTGAACGAGACCAACGCAACTCCTAAGTCAACCTATAACCTGATGGACAGCTATGTCGCCAGTAATCCGCAGGAAGCCCAAAAGGGAAACCGAACGGGCTCATCTGATTCCAGCTAGTCGGTAGGGGACACGGCCCGCACGGGGCGCGGCCGCGGCTGCAAGGACTGACGAATCACTCCGCATCGGCCAGAACCTCTTAAGAACCCTAGCGGCGAGGACCCGCCCTCCAATCGCGCATCGAGGGGGGAGCCCGCCCGCACGCGGAGGGGCGGCGAAACAGGCGCGGAATCACGGGCGCGCGGGGGAGGGGGAGGGGGAGGGGGCGGGCGGACCTTGGGAGAGGAGGCGGCTGACGGCCTCGTCGGGGTCCATGGAGCACTCGCGCAGCGCGGCGTAGATCTCGGCGTCCGGGCGGTTGACGATCTCCTTGAGGC